TGCAGTGCAATAAAAGTCACATTTCTCTTTAATGTAATCATATCATTTATTTCAATTATTTTCTTCTCCCCTCCTTGAGATGTCTTTTTCATGATTAGCCAAAGAAGCTCCCAGTGTACTTTTCTGTGTCTAGTGAGCAAATCTGAGTGACTGTTGACTAAAATCAGAATTCAGGTGGGATCTCTTGAAATCAGAGAATATGACTAATACCACCAACATTCATTTCTTTGAAATAGACCTTAGTATGGTCACACCAGACAGTGCTGTGGCCTTAAGTCTGAGCAGACCCATTTTCCCCTGCTGCCACTACCACTGGGACGTGTGCTCACCACTGACTCTGGTTCAGGGAAAAGTGACTGAATTTTCTGCCTGTGACATGGTTGCTTACACCACCTGCCTCTTTCAACCATGATCATTCTTTAAACGTGAGGGAGAACAGTCCTCCTCTTCCCAGCCTGCCCAGGGCTTTGCTCCGTGAGGAACATTCCATGGCAAAATTATAGCTGGGCTTCCAGGCTCACAGCTTTCTACACTAACTGATACCATCATTGCTGCAGGGCTGCATCTTCCCCAGACCTAGGGGATGGCTGGGAAGGACAGGACTGAAGGTCCAACGCGTGATGTACAGAGGACCGCTTTTCCCGTCAGTCCCCTGACTTGGTCGTGGCCCAGCCCTCATGCCTAGTCACTTCCCTGTCCCCAGGTGACCCATGATCAGGGCCTTCCCTGCCTTTCTCTGCACAGCTCCCTGGTCAGAGAGAACCCCTGTACTCTGACAAGCTTCTGTAACTTTGGATTTTAAAGAGAAGTGTGATTTCTTTTTTCCTCTAAGGCCCCTGGGCAAATTACACAGTTGTTCCCAGTTAATCCTCAATAATATTCAAGCACAGCACATAAATAATTTGCCATTAAAAAATGAAAGGTCTTCCTGCCACAAAAGTAGTGGAAAATTGGCATAGGAAAGAGCCAGCTTGTACTCTGTGACAGTAGCATCTGTCACTTAGTCTAACTTCCTGAGAGTGTGGAATGTGATAAAGGGATTGGACTCAGTCTCTACTCAGCACCTTGTGCACTTATTTAGGTGTAGCATCCCAATACTGTTATGTAAGGGAACAGATTCAGTTATATTCATCCACGTAGAAACGTTGGGTATTTGTTTCACAGAATACTCAGTGTTTGTGAAGTTACGGAATCCATTATATCTGATAAAATATGGCAGGTAAATTGATAGAAAATTAATTGGAAGACAGTTCCAAACACAATAACTCAGCAGAAACATCCAGGATCAATTAATCAAACTGCAACTCATTTTAATTGGACATACTCTAACCCAGAAAAGTCATTGGAATCTTTAATTAAGCTTTCAAGCCCAATCCTGTTTACATTAGTCATGTTTTCCTGAATAGCTACATCCTAAAATAAAAGGTTATTAACTTGAAACCTAATGGTAAAGTAAAAATCCTCAATACGTGTGTGCTGCAAATGTTTATATCTAATTAGACATTACATTTTTTTGGTAATTTAAAAATGTAGTTTAAAACTGTTTGATTAGGCAACCATTAACTCTTTAAAAGTATGGAATTAAGAAGTCCTGTTTACAAAACTGTTGATTTTCGTCTCACTATTACGAATGCTATTTAGGCATGTATTTCACATGTCTACATGTGTGTTTTCACCTGTTAATATCCCCATCCTCTGACGTTCCTCTCCACGGGGTATCTATTTCTGCCACTGACACCATGTTGTGCTCACGTCTCTCTGTCTAAATCCATTACTAGACCGTGAGATCTCTGAGACCATGATTAGTTGCATATAACTCTGTACCTCCAATGTCAGACAGTGTCCAGCAAAGAGCTGCTAAATAAAGCTTGCAGAACTGAAATGCCATTCAAACCAAAAGTGATCTGAGGAGAAGAAAATGGAAGTCTTCTTCTTTGACCGTATTCTTATATGGAGAGGAAAGGGGTGTCCTTGTAGCAAAAGGCCAACTGTAGGTTTTAGTCTTAACTCTGCCTCGGACTAAAGGTGTTTATTCTAAAATTTCTCAGCTATGCCCATGGGCTAGTCCCTGGACTTTTCTATGCCTCTAGTTCCTCATCATCTGAAACAAAACAGCAGAAAACAAACAAGAATGAATGAATTGGAACCGATGAAAATGGATTATTCAGTTGTTGGACTCTGGGTTATTTAGTTCTTATTATGTCACTGGTAGACTGAGACAAACCCCTAAATCAGAGAGACCATAGATGTTTCAGAGTGACAAATGCGTAACAGGCCATGATTTAATGTTACTGTGTACTACAAACCCTACACTGTGATTTAAAATACTGTAACACGGAGTCAATGAAATACACCAGGAATACACCTCTAATCCAGATTTCACAGCATCTGGCCCTCCTCCAAAGAGTGCCTGGGCCAAAGCTACAACCAAGGCTGCAGGCTGCCTTCCTTTCCCAGGAAAGAAAACTCCAGCAAGGATGCCGAAAGAATCTCTGTCACAGACTGGACTGAGCCCTAGACTTTCTTAGTGAGTTGAGTTAGCAGCAGCTTTGATGTGGAAGGAAGAGAAAAGATGTCCTCAAGGTAAGGGGAGAAGAGAGACTTCAAGGATGGCAGGAGATTGAGTAAATGTAGGACGGATGAAACAATTGTGTCAGCAATTCTGAAACTGGGATAAAAGCAAGTCCTTCTCTTCCTTGCCCACATAAACTGGAATTGTAAGATGTCTGGCTCCGTACCATACTCCATCTGGATTTATAAATAGAAAACATGACCCACACCCTTAAGACTTTCATATTCTTCATTGAAAAGACACAAATTATGTCAGCTGAAGCCATTTGAATACAGATATTTAAATACAGTCATTTGAAATATATGACTAAATAGCATTAATACCATGAGTTCAGAATTCTCAGAAATTCTTTTATTGTCCTCTTCATGGTGTTTCATTATCCAAAAACATAGAATTAATTTATTCAGAAATATTTATTGAGTTTTATTGGCAATCTCAGTCCCAGGGACCCAAACATCCCTGTGAAGAAAGGCTGTACCTCTCTTCGACTTTTGAAGCACCAAGCTCCCATCTACTGCTCCTAAGGTACAGTCGGTTTAGTGAATGAGTGTGTTAATTATTTATTAACAGTAAATTCATTGAGAAGTAATAATTATTATCAATATTAATTGATAATTAGTTATAATTATACATAGTTATAATTATACATAATTATAATAGTTGCTCAGCTATTTTGTGTCAGGCACTGTTCTTTGTTCTGGGGATATAGTGTGATTGAAACAGCCCTTATTGAATGTGTATTTTGATGGAGATACACTGATAATATACAAGGAACACTGTACAAAAGTAAAGCTTGCTAGATGATGACAAAGACGTACTTATTTAGAGTCTTTCTGGCCAAATTTTGGTTCTGAAATACCAAAAAATAAACAAAAACCCAAAACCAAAAATCCTGTTGAATCTCTGAGATTAGGAGACCTTAGGTAAATGAGGCTAGATTAGGAACTAGCTAAATGAAGTTGGCGGTTGCGGGGGGGGGGGG